GCGATACTAGAAGCACATACTTACGGATAATATGGTAGCATTTTCATAAATTAAAATTAATGTAAGTGATTAGTTTTGAGAAACATTTATACACACTGGCACTTATTGAATTAAATATTTCTAACGCTATACATTTTCGCACATTTGTGTTATTTCTATTGCTGAAAATTAGAGATGTAGATAGATAGATGATAAATAAATAAATAAATAAATAAATATATATATATATATATATAGAGAGAGAGAGAGAGAGAGAGAGAGAGAGAGAGAGAGAGAGAGAGAGACATTAATTTCTAGTAGAATAAATTTTTTGTTATCGATCCGAATATTTACTACGTGTGCCAGTGTTCGCACGCTTTACCCGCAACCTTTCGTTTTCACACGGCTGACGCTAGAAAACCACTGGTAATTTTCTCATTTCAATTCCAACAATCATGTTTCCCAGTTCTATATATATATATATATATATAAAAATCTTCGCAAATTACACGTAGAGTAGTATGTAACGATTATTCTCGTTATCCTAGGAAACTCGCTGCCTTTCCGATCGCTATCTCGGACTGTTGGGCAAGGCGCCACTTCCTGGATACAGCCCAATAGGGACAGCGCCCTGGGAGTTTCGCGTCCGAGCGATCGATCCCGGGTTAACAGCCGCTTCTCTTCTCCTCGCTCGATTACTCGCCCCGTACGTACACAGTGGCAACTTCGCTTCACTAAAGTGCATTACATTCGGTCCATACGTCTTCCTAGCATTATCTCCCAAAACATTTCTACTTCTCCTCCTTCTTTATCTTTATCAATCTTAAATCGATGCAACAAGTAAAAATGTAATGAGCGTGCGGCTTCGCTCCCTTGGTAACGAGTACTTTACTTCGTTCATTATACTATCTGGCTGGAGACGGTGAGTAGCGTAGGGGAGATGGCGGAAGAGGAGTAAAAGAGGGCGGATGAAGTTTTTAATGATGGTAAACGAAGTCACGGGAAGAAAAGGCCACTGGAGTCGTCGTTATCGCGACGATAGTTATGCGTTCCACTCCGAGTCGCATTAAGGATTCATGTTCGGGATTCGTATGCGAGGCGCCGCCGATGTAAAACGGGCATTAAGCCCTTTCCGCTAAATTCCGCGACGCCTTTACGTGACTTGTAATTGAAGGCGAGAAGCAGATGTCGATGAGGATGCACGCCGAATGTAAGAAATGCCTGACGACCTTCGCGTAGCCTTGATTAACCGATAGGCGCTTGCTAGATGCAAACTTTTTTCCCCAATATCGTGTAATTAATTTTACACCGCCAGCTGACGGTATGTGCTATCGTTTTGCCCGATTACATTACGTCATACTTGCAAACTGCAATGATTTATCACCGCCGCCCTGGATACTTTCCCACATTAATGCAATTACTCTTTTATACAGCTGTATTAAAAACGCAACTGAGAGAAGTGAACTCCATTAGTTATTTAATGAATATAGATGGGATGAAACAATGAATGAACATTTAACTGGATGGGTGAGGGTCGCGTGCAGCTCAGAAATTTCTCGAGACATCGAAATTATGTCTTTCGATTTCATGTAATAAACTTATTCCTTGCATTAGTTAAAGTAAATTGTGCGATGATATTTTCAATCATATATTTGCTAAGTAAATCATTAACATCCCTTACTTATTCTTAATTGTATTAAAAAAAAAAAAAAATTTAGTTTACCGTGCCATTCCGATCAATAAGTTTAATAATATGTAATTAATATATGATTCTTAATGGTGCAATGGTGCAATTATATTATGTAACAACCGTAATTAGTAACATTGTAATTGTCGTCACGTATCGTTACATAAACATTATTTGTTGTAAAAATTATTTATTATTTATTATTATTATGGGATCATTGCATTCGTCAAAATCTATAACTTTGTGAACTTCTCTGATAATTCGAAAGTACTTATTAAAATTTATTTTAAATGCTAATGACGCTTGAGAATTATTGATTCTTATGATTACTTAAGAAAAAAAAAAAAAAAAAAAAAAAAAAAAAAAAAAATGAAAACAGTTTCTACATAAATGATTTTATTGGCCATTTGCTTAGATTCTTATAAATCTCCAGATACTTATTCGATAATTCCATTAAATTCTCGAAATAGTAAATACAGCTGCCTAACATCATTATTATCGTGAAATTTTATTATTTTGTTCATTATGCGTGCACATCACACACGAACTACATGTACATCGATAAAAAATTTGAGATAAAGGTAGCAGCCAAATTCTTATAGTTTTCAATATCATCCTTTAATTTATATAAATGATTTATATATATCCATTTATAAAAATGCCTAAAATTGTTTTAAAAATTATCTTATAGCGCGATATGTAAGATGGCGCAAATAAAAATATGAAATGCAAATTATGAAAAGATAGAGCGTTGCAGTTTTGATAAAAAGGATAGAGATCTATTTTCTTAAGTCGCGATGTTGTAGGTACGTAAACCAGTGCGATTATACGTACGCGATTCTATCCCCACTCGAGCTCATTACTCATCCCCTTGTATCGTCAACAATAGCATTTTTGTGTAAATATTTCTATAATCACCGACAACCGAGTAAACACATTACCTCCCCCGCTCCTTTTCTATTCCCGACCGGCGATCGATGACCCTGCCCGTGACCCTTTTTTCCACCGTCAAACTCAACTCAACTTTCTTCAATTCGCTATTAAGTAAATAGTAAATAATTCAAGCTAATAATAAAAATAATTGCAAGATTCAAGAAACGCATTTGATACCATTACATAATACAATATGTCGGCACTTTATAAAATAGAAAATGCAAATTTTTACTCGGAACGTGAATTTTCCAACCGAAATGATTATATTAATCTACAAATCCGACTTATGAATTCATTTTTCTTTTTTCATTATGTTATTAATGACTCCTGTATCACATATCCGTCAAATATACAATAAAAAATTGTGATCGTATAACATGAATATGCAGATGCATGTGCAAAGCCAGTGGTTACGTACACTGGTGTATACGTTAGATTTAAATTTCAAATTCCCGAAGGCGAATTTTCGCAGCCGCGATTGGATGCGTTTTAACGCTTTCTAAGACAGTTTTCCATTCTCAGGAGGAAACTGTTGACAGGCTCGATATGAGATGCTCATCATCGTTCGCAATCGTTCTCTTGTTCCATAGGCTTCAGAAACTATCTCGCCAAGTCGTATGTATGTATAATTAAATTCTTATCTAGCGTTTAAAATCATGTTAAGTAGATCAAATTACAAATATAATAGCAGTGTAGGTGTTGTAATTATTAGCGAGTTGAAATTGTCTTTTTCCGTTCCTTATACACGCATCGAATACTTTACTTTACCATCTACGGAGTAAGAAATTTAATCCCATTCTACCTAATAATAACATATTTTCACGATTCTTTTAATTAAGTAGCAAAATATAAAAAAAATACATAAATTGTTCGGCTAATATTAAAGATAATTATCACACTCTATACGTATTGTGCGACAGTTGCGTGTGCGTGGCTGTATTTACTCGTGCATTTATGTGTTTTCTTGCACGTGTCTATGAACTTTTGCCATGATTCTAAATGAGATTTAGTCTTGCTTAGTTTTAATACGAATTACGGGATCCCGATATATTTATTATAATTTTAATTTAAAAATAGTATCTAAAATGTAAGCGTACGCTTAAATAGAATTAGCTTTTCTTGCATAAGAACGTTTTTACATTATTACATTTTGTGCTTGATAGCGTTAATAGAGTAAGCTCGAATGGATAAAATCGTTTTAATATCTAAATTGACTATTCCATCTGATTAAATGTTAAACGAATATTAATAAGAATTCATGAAAGTCTAAACAAGTTTTTCATCTTATATCCAAGGCTCCGAGTATATCCGACGTTTTTCTATATAATAATAGTAACAAATTTTCTTTTATAAATACAAGGTTTTCTTTAAAGAAAATTTATCATTCTAAAGCCAAGCACTGATTGTAATTTTTTAACAAGTTGACATTAATTAATTAGATAATTTTGAGTAAGATTTATGAACAATTAACAGCAAGACACTTTATATATTATAGTTATATAACCAGAGTGTAATTAAAGTTTTAGAGATTAATAAATAAAGTTGGCAAATGTAAGAAATGTAAATTTCACAGATTTCATAGAGATTAATAAATAAAGTTGGCAAATGTAAGAAATGTAAATTACATTATTGTTATATCGTAGATTTTAAAGGAGTGTATTAGGTGAAATCTGTGAAAGAAATTACGATTAGATGGATTTACAGGTACTGTTGGTAGGAGACACGCGGCTGCGTCCCTTTCTCCTTTCATCTCTCGCCAACTGACATTACTCAAATTCCGTGTGCAAAATTGTTTCTTCCAGAGCTCTCTCTCTCTCTCTCTCTCTCTCTCTCTCTCTCTCTCTCTGTCTCTTTCTTTTTTTTTATGCCTGTGTCTGTTAGATCGTAGATGTTCAATGGAGCAACGTTAAATAATGTTTTAGGAGCGGAATGAATTGAAGGGAGAGTTAAGACTGGCTTTTCCTCTAGATTTTCAAATTCGTTACTTCATCGGCAGCATCCGTAAAAATTTAAATACACTTCTTTTTGGCAGTGATCCAACTTATGATTATTTAATTTGGCACCAGCTACATGTATCGATTTCAAGAATTATGTTTCATATTTCTCACACATACCACACGCCACACGCATACGTACATATACCTACGTACACCTACATCAAATCAGACATATGCATGTGTTGTAAGACTTACCTTCATTGTCGATGCTAAAAAGTCCCACGCCGTCGCCACCACGTATACTGTAACCAACCCGTGAGTCGCCTCCTGGGGGATCAGCGTCTCGAGCTCTAACTTGAGTTACCAAACTGCCCACCGGTTGATTCTCGAATACGCTCGCTGACGTCACAAAGTCATTGAAGAGAGGGGCGTGCAAGTTTTCGTTCACATCCACAACTTCGACTATGAGGATCGTCTCGGAAGAAAGTACCGGTTCGCCCTTGTCCTTGCCTATTATCGTCAAAGTATGCAGTTGACGTTCTTCAAAATCGAGTTTGCGAGAGGTGCGCACCGCTCCGGATAGTCGATCGATCTCGAAGAAGGCCTCCACGTCCGGCTCGTCGGCGAAGGCATATTCCACTTCGCCGGCTGAGCCCTCGTCCGCGTCCATTGCCGTTACAAGCGCCACAACGCTCCATACCGGCAAGTCCTCGCGTACTTTCACCGTGTAACTCGGCAGAGCAAAACGTGGCGCATTGTCGTTCACATCCTCCACCGATACGCGCAACAGCGCCTCCGACCAAAGCGCAGCCTCGGGTCCACCACCGTCCGTTGCCCGGATTCGCAGCTCATAATTGGAGCGGCGCTCTCGGTCCAGTTGGCCCTGAACACTCAGAGCCCCGGTGATCTCGTCCAGATGAAACTCCGCTGCGTCGGTCAATAGGGCATACGTGACATGGCCGTTCTTACCCAGGTCGGCGTCCGTCGCGTTGGCCCGAAAAACAACGCTGCCGCTAGGCGTCGCCTCGGAAAGTCGAATGCGCGCGAGCGGTCGCTCAAAACGCGGCGCGTTATCGTTCGCGTCCAGCACGCTCACCGCCAGCATTTTCGAGATCGACTTTTGCGGTCTTCCCAGATCGTAGACGCTCACGTTTAAAAAATACTCGGCCTCGCGTTCTCGATCCAATCGTCCCACCAGACGCAGCTCACCCGTGTCAGCGTCGATGGCGAAGGCCGAGTCGCCGTCCCCGGCAGAGATGCCAAAAACCAGTCGCCCGTTGTAGCCGAGGTCCCGGTCACGGGCGACTAGTTTCGCGAGTCTCGAGTGCGCGGGCGTCGATTCGTTCACCCGCAGCTCGCTGGGAAAGTCCAGGAACTCGGGCGCGTGCATGTTCTGGCCATAACGGCTGGATACGAGAGGCTCTTCCGGAGGCTTTGTCGGTGCATTACTGCGCTCGGCAGCTGCAACTGCCTCGGTGAAACGTCGGGTGACGCCGGTCTCACGGCACTCGAATCCGCCGCTGCGAGTCGCTCCCAATTGCAGACGTACGCTGCTCAGATCGGCAAAGTGCGTGCCGTCGGTGGCAGTGACGTTGAGTATGCGCTCCGGTGCAGCGAGATCCGAGAGATCGCAGGCAACGGAAAGGACACCCGTGGTGGTGTCGAGGGCGAAGCATCCGTCGGCATTACCGGAGACCAGGCGATAGCTGATGACGTCGCCGGCGTCGAGGTCGATGGCCGAGAGGGAGAGAAGTTCCGCACCGACGGGGAGATCCCGGGCCACTTGTCCAGTGCAGTCGACTCTCTCGAACTGCGGCCTGTTATCGTTTACATCGCGCAGTCGTATCCTGAGGCTCATCTCGCTTTGTCGTCGGTAAGGTAGGCCCCAGTCGTTAGCTCTTACACGCAGCGCGTATTCGCGCCTCATGCTCTCGTAGTCGAGGAGTTGTCGCGTGCGCACCTGTCCGGAGAAATGGTCGATCTCAAAGGGGACGCGCTCGATGTTGTCGATGCTGTAGGATATGTAGGCGTTTTCACCAGAGTCTCGGTCCCGGGCCACGACCTTCACGACCATAGTGCCCGGAGGCTCGTTCTCATCCAGCCAGACGAGCAACTCCGACTGCTCGAACTCCGGATCATTGTCGTTCGCGTCGACCACGTAGACCTTCACCTTGGCGGAGGACTGCTTGCGGCTGCCGGCATTACCCTGGTCGACGGCCGAAACCGTGAGCGTGTAGAAGGCCTTGCTCTCGGCATCGAGGGCGATCGCCGTGTAGAGGACGCCCGTGTCCGCGTTCACGTAGAACTCGCCTCCTTCGTTTCCGCCGACGATCTCGAGGAAGACGAGGGCGTTGCGCCCGGCATCTTCGTCGCTAACCTTGAGCCGGAGCACGGGGGTGTTGGGGGGCGCGGTCTCGGGCACGCGCACCTCGTAGATTTCGCGGCTAAAGACGGGTGCGTTGTCGTTGAGGTCGGCGAGCTGAACGGCTAGAGTCTTGTAGCTGAAACGGGGTGGCGTGCCCCGATCGATGGCGCGGAGACTCAGGTTGTAGCCCCGGGGTGCGGCCTCGCGATCTAGGAGACGCAGTACCTGAATACCGTACTCGCCGGCCTGGGGCAGAGGATGCACGCGGAAGTGACCCTCGGGATCGCCGGAGACGATCTCGAGGCTGGCGATCTCGCCATGGAGCCCGGTGTCCCGGTCGTGGACCCGGACAATCGCGTACGTGTCGGCATTCGAATGCTCCGCGATCTCTGGCAGATGTCGAATGGATATCTCGGGCGCGTGGAGATTAACCTGGCGAACGTGGATGGTTAGTCGGGCGCTACTCGCCCGGGATGTGCTGCGATAGACGGCGCCTCGATCGCGGGCCAAGACCCTCAGCTCGTACATGGGCCGCTCGATGTACCTAGAATAAATTACCACTTTACTCTCAAATGCCGAACTTAACTTTTAGTTTATGGCCTTTCTTGGCAAACCGACAATGATTAGCGGTTTTCACTTCTTAATTAAGATACCTTCCTCGCGAAATTTGCTCGCTGACGCAACGATGCATATAAAATTATTGTTTTAAAATAATGTAGGAAGCAAGTATTATTCTAGCATATACGTTCATAACGTGTCGAATTGGTGTATCAATGCGAGGAGCGAGTATTACGATTATCATTCTCTGCCTATATTTGCTGTAAATAAATAATGACGTTTCTTTTAATAAGAGTCTTCAATTATATATAAGCTTTGTTAATGGCTGAAGCAATGGAAATTTGATATTGTCGAGTCTTTTCAAAACAAGATTGTTTATGTCGTAAATATGCGTTTCGACATTTTCCGTCTACATATTGATGTAACAATGCAATTGACAACGTGACAATTACACGTCTGTTGATATTTTTATATCAACTTTTAAAACAAATTCAATTAACTTTTGTCATTAAATAATAATTTGAATAAAAAATAAAAAAAAAAAAAAAAAAAGAAAAACTAAACAAAAACAAAAGGAAGAAAAAGAGTTTAAATTCTACTCAATATATTTATTCATCGGCGTGTTTTTAATGCAAACTACTTATTTTTAAATTAGTCTCGATATATTTTCATTTATTATTTAAATATATGATATTATTATAAAAGAACAGTGTTTCAATTGGATTTCATTTGACGCGACCTCCTTTCGACGCCCGCGAATCTAAGCAAAAATTGGTAAAGAAATATTTAAAAGACTGCATAAATGTAGGGAACAGCTACATTACGTAAACACATTTGTTTCAATCCAACAGCGTATAAATATATATATAATTCTTATCTATACATCATGTAATAACGTTACATTCTAAGAAAAAGTACCTCATAATTTTTTGTGTTGCATTAATGCTCTTTAAATGTCCATGAAAGATTTTTGCTACATTATAATAGAATTATAATTTTTAAGAAATGCTATTGCCTACGATTATGTACATATTTATATGTAATTCTTAATACCTTAATCATTTCAATTGTAGTTACTATTTGCTAATCTCCCGTATTACATTTAAAGGCTTTCTAAATCACGCGTGTTCATTTGAAAAATCAAAAAACTCATTACCATAATAGATAAGACTCCGAGATATTTCAACCACTAATATAGCATTAAAACAATATGTATGGAATAGTTTCACTTGACTTTAGGGAAATATATAGAAAACAACTAAAAATTCTAAAAAAAATTATTAAGAATATTTATGAGAAGAAAATTTGGCGTATAATGTTTTGTTACGTTAACAGCAATAATGATGTAATTAATTTAGAAAAATTGAATACAAATATTATACGAGGCAATCGATGTAAAACATATATATATATATATATATATATATATATATATATGATATAATATAAACATCAGGAAAATATAAATATAAAATTATTTAATAAGTAATCAATAATACTTATAACTCGCTTTTAAAAAATTACAAAATAATTGAACTAAAATTTACATTTTCGAAATTACAAAATTGCTATAGACTGTAGATTGAATATTCTGAAGAAATTATCGTTCGAGTATTCGAGCTATAAATACTTAAAATTTTTTATGTTTATTTATTCATAAGCTTGAATATTCGATCAAATATCTAAATTGAATTGATGAAAGGGCATTTTTATTCCACACAAAGTTAAAACTGAATAAGAATACTTTCGTAATGGCACACTTTCATACTGATTCAAGTAGTTGCGATACAATAGACAAACACAATAATGCCCTGCTAATTTTAGCTATTTTGCAAAATTGATTTCATTAATTCGCTCATGTTTTATTTTACGTTGATATCAATATAAATTTGGCAATATATTTTTTGCAATCTCAAGACATTATAATACTCGATTGAAATTCATTAATAAGTACTTTCACTGTTTGAAATCACGTAATGATAAGTTAGCGCTCCGATGCCGTAATTTTCTTCGTGCTTATGTCAGCAACGCATTTTTCGCTATACGTTCGAGTGAGCCTGACAAACAAATGAAAGTGCTCACTGAAATTAGCCAGGGTAATTCCAGTGTCGAATAAATTGACAATTGTATATTGCCAAAATTTAACCGTCTAATTAAATTTAAACTAAAAAAGGGCCGCCTTCTCAAATAATAATGTAACTGGGAAAACTCTTCGCTGGCCTTGCTGATTCCCTTCTACTTTGCTGATTGCAATAACTAATATTTAAACGATTTGGCAAATTTGCATAAATCCGGTGGTCATCCGTTCTCGGGTATACGAGCCGCGCCCACGATTTCTTAGCTTTACAGGACGCCTGAAGTGACGCCCACGCCACTTATTAAAACGTCACTGCACAGAGTTTACTATAAAAGTTAGCACAATAAATTTTCCTTTTGGACAAAAATTAATAAATTAGCTGTGTCGTTGGGAATTGGCTTCTGGAATCGGAAATAAGCTCCAGCAACGAACTATCATCGTTCCAATCTTTCAGTTTGTGTAATATTGGAATTCAAAAAAGACTTTTTTATCGTTGACAAATTACAATATTGTAACGTATAAATATTAAATGCAATTTTCTTTTTATTTTACAGGACTTTTATAAATTTTCCTGAGAAATTGTTTATATATATATATAAAGATCAGTTTTTGATTATATACATATTTTCACTATACTTTCTAAAATTGAAATTGTGACAACTCATAAACTAAATGTCCGTATTTACTATGTTATACGAGAGAGTAAAAAGTATGTCACTAGAAAATAGTGAATGTACTCTATAAAAGTTAATTAGTCTTTGCAAAAAGAAGAAATATATATATATATATATTTACATATTTTACTACAAAATCAGCACATATCACAACAAATCACATCGATTCAACTTGTAATTAGCCTAGTATCATCAGATCGAGTTACCATTACTATTTTATAAATATTGAGTTACCGTAGTGGGAGATCATTGGTGGCAATAATGGAGAGGACGAATGAAAAATGAAACGTTAGAAAGAATGGAAACATTATTTTTTAGCTGAATTGCCAAAAGCGTGCTCTAGATGAAAGTAAAGGTCGCTGATGGAGAAAATGGAGAATTGACTACCGCTAGCCACGAAGACGACCTGAAATGCTGGTACATATGTATACTAAATCCACATCATAAAACTCAAAAAGTGATTGACCCAAACTTTGCTGGGCTTTGCCGCTCGACATTGCGCTCGTGTCGAAACAACGCAGAAAATGGCACAATCACAGTGTTGTGTAAATACCGAGATTTCTGTACTCGTTCCTAAGCCTATGTAAGCGAATCTCAGTATTAGCGAAATTTTAGCGCCAGCACAGCTCTGGACAACCTCCATAGAATAGCCTAACTTGCGTGATGGAAGATCATAAAACATCGTACCCGAAACACTAAATCGTTATAAATAGAGATCGGTGTATAATAGGGATATTCGTAATATACCATTTGTAATAGAGTATACAACTCTTGCAATCTGCCATTTATCTGTTCTTTAAATAACAAAGTCATAAAAAAGTACAGGCAACATAGACTTGCTGCTGTTAAATAATTTAGTAACGAAGTACTTGATCGGATATGAATAATGATATACATTATCGAAGTTGAATGGTATGCTGCTAATTACAGTATTATTGCAATAAAATAAAAAATGCCTACTGATAACAAAGCCATACATTATTTTTGAACTGACAGCTTACCGATGAATTATAGTAAAAATTAATCGATAATAAATAATACAACGTTACTTTATAAATGAATATAAATGAATATAAATGAATATATATATATATATATGTGTGTGTGTGTGTGTGTGTGTGTATATATATATGGACTATGAATTTCGAATAAAATGCAGAAATTAAAAACAATTATTTTAAGAGCATGATAGCATCGCGCTAATGTTAATATACCATTAATATACCATATTATTCAATGCAAATATCATTCGATCGTCTCTTTAATTTTCCAAGTGCTTAATTTTTTCTGTGCATTTAAACATTTTGAAAATTCGTCAATATGTACCGACTGGCCGATAGCTCGGCTAATGCATGGATAATATTGAGTTATGATACAATTAAAATCAACAATGAACGTTCGCCTTAAGTTGAAATTATGGCCATATGCATTTCTTAAGTAGCTGCTGCCACTCGTATTTTAAATAAGAAATTTACCGTAAATGCAAAATCGAGCGATCAAACCAGATTTCATTATACGAGCTATTATGTAAATTAAAAAGATCGTTGCGCAGGTGCATCTCGCGAAATAAAGAGCAACGTACGTGTCTCCCAATATCAAATGTCCTTCGACAAAGGTATCTCCTCATATTCGCTCATATTCGACGTCCGGATAAACAAAAATAAAAACAAAAACAAAAACAAAAACAAAAATAAAAAAAAAAACAAAAAACAAAAAGAAATCAGGGCAGGTAGAAAATCGAGGGAGAAAACGAATGTAGCTTAATTACCTGAGTGGCCTCGTAAGTGTAACGACGCCGCTAACGGGATGTACCGCAAATTGTTCGGTTTTCTCGGCGAAGCTATAGTAGATTTCACCATTTCTGCCGAGATCCGCATCCTCGGCGGTGACACGTAGGATACTACGATGCATGAGCGTATCCTCGGCGACGCTCGTCTCGTACTCCGTGGGATAGAACAGAGGATTGAGATCATTGGTGTCAGTTATGGTGACAGCAACGCTGGTCTGCGCCTCCAAGGCCGTCATTCGGTTCTTGCCATCGTGACGACGCGAGCTCGCCCTTATTTCCAAGACATAACGATCCTTGCGCTCGCGATTAAGCACGTCGACGTTCCCCGTGCGCGTCCTCAAGAGAAGGAAGCAAAAGTCCCCGACGACGCGCTCCTCCGCCTTAAAGAACTTCTCCTTATCGCCGGCGACGATTCGATACTTGATGTCCTCGTGCGACCAGTTGCCCGGCCTAAGCTCGATGCCCATCTTATCGTCCGGGATCACATAGGTCTTGCCCATCGAGTTCTCGGGTATAGAGCCGTTGTAATGGGGCGCGGTGAAATGCAACTCTTGATCCAATTCGATCGGCACCCTCTTAACAACGGCGCCTAGGTTATGGGCGACCGGGAGGATCACGTTAGGCTGCTCAAAGTCCGTGGGGGCGGACGAGCAACCGGCCCCGATCGCCCCCAGCAGCCAGAGCAGCAGCCACGGGCTACCGAGATGCGACACCCGCTCCTTCATTTTTTCCATTGCGCTAGCTCATTGTAGCTCGTAGCCGTCAACAACGAGTCGTCCCTTGGGCCTCGGGCATCTGCAATAAAACAATTGTAGATTAAATTTTCCCGTACTTTTCAATGTCGTTTATTTGGGTAGATTATCGATCGCGGAAAATTTACGATGCAATAAATAATCCATGCGATAATGATTGTTCTTTAACAATATTTTTTTTCAATTGGTTTATCACTAATGAATCTCACGTATTAGAAAAAAAAGAAAAAAGAAAAAAAAAAAAAAGAAATAAAAAAAAGTACATTTTTGTAGATTCATTATGGATTAAGGGCAATGAACAATGTGATCATGGTATTCATCGAGTTCATTGCCCATTAAATACTACTAAATGTAAGATTTTTATATTACCCTTCTGTTCGATCACCGTGAAATGTTCCATTATAATTTTAAATATTGATTGAAAACAGATACCGACATATATGTGTATTATGATTCGTTACTCAAGCGTTTTAATATTTATGGATCGTAACAATATTACTTAAAAAGCCTGCGAAAAAATCATCTGGCTTTGCTGAAAAGTGTTCAAGTAAATAATTACTTTCCAAAATATCGGAAAGATTTTATATTTAATTTAAAATGCAATATACTCTTTTTGTTTCAATATATTGATGTATATTAGCTAAATAATTTAGTATAAATAGCAAACCTATAAATAGTATAATTCTTTCACGTTTGTTTCTCTATTTAAATAATAATGGCACAATTAATAGTGTTATTATTATTATTTTGATAGATATAGAGTGTATCTTGATAGTATCCGGCAATGACTATCATTGGTCATTGTCTGCCGAATTTGTTAAAAATAATCCGATCTTCAAATCTCATAATGACAATTATATAATTATTCACTATTACCACTTATCCGTTTAAATAAGACTTTTGACGCATTATTATTGTACATTCGTTACAATCAAAAAGCATTCTGATAATTCATTCATCCGTAATAATTCATCAATATTTTACTCAATATTGTATAAAGCAGTTAGGTATAAAATATTTAATTAAAATCATCAGAGCGATATGATATTAAAATTATCCCGCCTAAATTACATATTATTTCTGGAGAACAGTTTCATCAAGGCGGCGATTTTATTTTAGCCGATTGCAACTTACTTTATTGAACCGCATAAGCCAAATAAACAAGGAACAGGGGTTAGAACATCGAGCGATGAGCAATGTCGGTTAAGACGGAACAACGAAGTTGGCAGTCGGAAAAGCCGAGGATGACGAGAGCGACGACGACGATAGCGATGTATGAGATTAGAGCAAATACGAGACGCGTGCAACTAAGATAGAGCGAGCGTGAGAATGTTATCGGATTCATGTTTCTCGGCGTGAAACCAGTCTTGGTTATTGTTATCGACGTATCAAAGCATACGGTTTCGGGCTCCCTTGTCTATGCCTTCGCTCTTGTCCTTTTCCGTCTCTAAATCCGATCTTTTAACTCCACCTTCAGCAACTTCGCTTTGATCGGACCCCATGCTACTTCGTTCACCGACTTGTCTTCACTCTGGCGCCTTCGCCCTTATCGACAACTGTATTTTACTGCACTACCATTCGTGCATTATATATTGAAAATTATTTTAATTTCCTGTCCGGCGATTTAAGTTCGAAGCATCGCTTTTGTCGTCAACTAAAATTTATTACGCAAACGCAAACATCGGTACCAAAAAAACTTTCCTAGAGCATGAAATTCGACGACTTCGTTATTGTATAAACAAAAATTATTTGTAATATAATGAGGCTGCAGCTTAATCGCTAAAATTTTTACGTAAGGAAAAGAATAAGTAGAATAAGAATAAGAATAAGAAGAAGAAGAAGAAGAAGAAGAAGAAGAAGAAGAAGAAGAAGATGATGATGATGATGATGAAGATGAAGAAGAAGAAATTTAGCCTCTTCTTAGTGTTATTTTACTTAAAGTATGGCAGGAAATAAATTTGAATAACAGTAAAACTGTGCTTTAATGTAGCGATTTGATCTCGCATCAGGGTATTATAAATTTGCTGTTTGGTCAACAGATTATCGCACTTGAATATATCTATTTATATCAGAGCATTATAGTTTCTTCGGCCAGAAAAGAAAAGGTGCGTAAAAAGAACATCGGCTTACGATGAGTTTCAGTACTAAATAAATTTCGGATTAAAGGGTATAGGTTGAGAAATCATGAAGAATTTTTTCTTTTTTTTTTCTTTTGTCGTCAACGGATAAAAATAACTTATTAAAAAATTGAAATCTCATAAAATACCTTCACATCAAACAAATATTAACAACAACGAAGAAAAGATAATTACTTTTCTCTATTTATCCATTACTTATTTTCCAGCTTATAAAAGATATAATAAACGAATAAAGCTCGCATTACCTGACCGAGTAATTTTCCATCTTGAAGTAAATTAATTTATGTTTTGCCTTAACGTAGTGTTATGTGCACTATACACAGACTATACGCAGCAATAATCAGTAAATGCACGTGAAGCGTTTGAAATATTATTAAATAATAGAGCAGATAACTTTGCATGCATTAAAGCTATTGAAATGTTAAAAGAATATTAATTTTAATATCGTATTTCGTATAGGTAAATAAAAAGTATCTGACACTCGATGTGCTAATATATTATAACCAAATTTATATGTGCAACGATAATAAATTACACTCCTTTACATAAAAATACGTGTTAAAACTATACAGATATATAATACCAAAGAAAATGATATGAGAGATGCCAGAAAGATGTAAGGAATGATAAAAATTGAAATGCAGTTTAATGAAATGCACATCTATATTGGTAGTTGGAAAATTCTTTGACAAGGAAAGTCAGCTTTCTCTTGCACATTTGCGTGCGTGTGCTAAAGGGAAGGGCGTTCGAAAAGAGAGAAGACAGTCAGAGTTATAGGGAAAGGTAAAATAAACGATAAATGAGACCCGAGCATGTGTGCAAGAGCTGGTACTGTTTTACTCGCCTTTAATCTTTTTTTTTTCTTTTTTTTTTTCGTTCTCGAGCTTCAGGAAGTACTTTAGATTAGCCTATCTTTCGATATACATTGCAGCCTTTTGCAGACGCTCTTGTACTCGTAAACTCTTGACTTAACTTTGGAAGTTCGCTCAAAAATAATTGCATCGGAAGCAATCAATAAAGGAGATATTAATACTGAGATTTTCGCTTTCTTTTGGTCTCCCGACGTTTTCGCCCGCAATCCCAAATCTCTCAGCCCTTAATCAATCAAAATCCCTACTTACGGTGAACCGAGATAAATGTAAAAAAAAAAATATATATATATATATATAATTATAGATTTATATGCTAATGTTTACAATGATATATAAAGAATTTCTGTAGGGGAAATTCAATAATAGGTAAATTATTAAGTTCAACTAACAGTTAATAAATATTGTAAGTAATAGTAATATAGCGAATAGTAATACACAATTTTTTCTCAATATACATCAACAATATTGTTAAAAAATTTTTATTTTCTAATAATTTCAACTTATTACTGTTCATTATAGTAAAATACTTTTTATATTTAAATATACAATTTCCATTCAAATTCATTGTATAAATATTTCAAATAAAAATTTCATTTATTTAACATCAACGAGGAAATTAATAAAAAATATATTATACTAATAAAATACATAATCCGTAACAAATTTCGATGTATTACGCATGATTGAGTATAAGTAAGTAATACAAATTTTTTTATATAATTTTAAAAATGGTTTTCAACTAATACTTAATACTTAATACTTAAACGAAATAAATATTAAAACATGGAAAATATATGAACATTGAAAAATGTTTAAATTAACATTGTAATCTATAAATATTTTATTGCAAGCCTATGAAGTTAATACTTAAAAATTTTTATTCGATGACTGAATTTTTTATATATATATTTAATACCTGGAACTGTGTACATTATAAAGTAATTTATAATTTAAATATTATAATTTAAGATTAAACTTAAGAAGTTCATTTTGTAATGGAAAAAAAAAAACGAAAAAAAAAAAGAATTTTTTATAACTATGACTAGTTATTCTAAGTGTGATTTTAAATCGTTTCGTAGCTTTATCGATAAAACCGCTATTTAAGAAGTATTCGTGTATCAATTTATCTTCTTTAACATCATTTTTATTTTTTATCTAACCCAATGTTTACTTTCATTATCTTCAGAGTGACTAATTTCCACAATAATCAATAAAACAGAAATTCAATTTTATTAATTTACTATACGTTTTAATTACCATATAATGCAATTTCAGTTCGTAATATC